TCAAGGGATGTAACATTCATTGAGACTGAATTTCCTAATAGAGGAGATATTGACCGTACTGTTTCTCTTTATGAGACACAGGAACAAGATAGTGCAGAACAAATTGACAAACCAGAATCATCTAGGTGTGTCAATCTGAGTGGGAGCCAAGAAAGGTCAACACCAAGACCTGAACAAAGAAAGAAAGATAAGCAAATAGCTCCTGTCAAAAAGAGTAACAGGGAAAGTGTTCCCAAAAGACGCTTTCAAATAGAAAGCGAATCTCTCTTAGTTACTCCAGAAGGGGATGATGAGCCCCTTTCTGTACGAGAAGCCTTGTCAGGTCCTGCAAAAGATGAATGGATGAAAGCTATGGAAGAAGAAATGGACTCAATGAAAAAGAACCAAGTTTGGGTGTTAGTTGATCTTCCAAAAGGGCGTAAAGCCATTGGGAATAAAGTGGGTTCTCAAAATTAAAAGAAAAGTGGATGGATTAATTGACAAATACAAGGCTCGATTAGTGGCAAATGGGTACACACAACAGGAAGGCATAGATTATGAAGATACGTTCTCACCTGTTGTGCGTTTCAATTCTATTAGACTTATTTTGGAAATAGTAAACAGTTTAGACCTAGAATTACATCAGATGGATGTAAAAATCGCATTTCTGAATGGTGATCTGGATGAAGAAATCTATATGGAACAACCATTAGGTTTCATTGAAAAAGAAAAAGAGAACAAAGTTTGTAAACTCAAAAGGTCCATTTATGGATTGAAACAATCATCCAGACAGTGGTATTTGAGGTTTCACAAAGCAATAACCTCATATGACTTCCAAATGATAGAGGAAGACCACTGCGTCTACATTAAGCGATTTGAGGGTAATTTTGTCATATTATCCTTATATGTAGACGATATACTATTAGCCGGAAATAGTCTAGATTCGGTGGTGGCTATTAAAGAATGGCTTTCATCGAATTTTGAAATGAAAGATATGGGTGAAGCAGAGTATATACTTGGAGTTAAGATCCAAAGAAATCGCTCAAAACGAATACTCTCTCTTTCACAAGAGAATTATATCAACAAGATTCTTGAGCGATTTAACATGAAAGACTGCAATCCCATGAGTACACCTGTTGCTACTGGAGTGGCTTTGAGTTCTGACATGTGTCCCAAAACCGAGTCTGACAAAAAGAAGATGGAAAGAGTTCCATATGCCAGTGCTGTTGGTAGTCTGATGTACGCAATGATGTGTACAAGACCAGACATCTATTATGCAGTGGGACTGGTAAGCAGATTCCAGTCTAACCCCGGTGAAAAGCATTGGAAAGCAGTGAAGAGGATCTTGAGATACTTGAAAGGCACTTCTAATTATGCATTGTGCTACAAAGGAAGCGACCTGTGCCTTGTTGGGTACTCCGATGTTGATGTAGGTGGAGATGAAGAAGAACAAAGGTCAACTTCAGGTTATACCTTCTTGCTCAACAATGGCGCCATATGTTGGAGTAGCAAGAAGCAAACGTGCATTGTCTTACATTCAATGGAAGCTGAGTTTGTGGCATGCACCGCAGCAGTGCAAGAGGCTTTATGGCTGAAAAGATTTATAGAACATCTTGGATTTGGAAACAAGAGTACCAATCCGGTGATGGTATACTGTGACAATACTGCAGCCATAGCCTATACTAAAGATCCTAAGTATCACAGCAAAACCAAGCACATTGACATCAAGTATAATTTTGTTAGAGATTATATAGCACAAAAGATTGTTACTATACAATACATTTCAACCAAATGTATGGTAGCAGATCCTCTGATAAAGCCAATAGGCAAAAAAGTTTTTAAAGAACATGTGCAAGCCCTTGGCATACATAAAGTGTAATTTGTAAACCTCATTAATGAAATTATGTTTTTCTATTATCACTTTATGTGTTTATTTGAAAGTATACAATGCCTAGTATGTCGTACAGGTTAAGAAAGGTTGGCTCTCTCACACGGGCAACCGCCTTTGACACTCAAGTGGAGTGAGCAAAGATGAGACATTTGTGTTCACCAGTAAAGCAGCAAAAGAATGCTGATATGGTAGGAAAGAAACACAAACTTTATGTCGCCTTGACTAAAGTGTAGCAAGTCAAGATGAGATCCACGTTGATAAAGTTGGATCGAAGTTTGGAATCCCACTTCCATAATACCTATAGCCAGATAACAAACTCTTCAACGTCGACGTCATAACAATGAGTAGAGTTGAAGAATTTGGGTTTAGATACTGAATGTGTCTAGACTTAAGTCTGTACGGTGTTAATGATAAGTCCAAAACGACATACGCGCTTATAGTAAAAGAGTAACATCGTAGCATGTGTTCCATACCACATGTGCTGGGAGAACCGCAAAAGGAAAGCAAGTGAAAGATCCCTGCTTCATTGCTGTGTGAGTCCCAGGGAGGAATTATCCCCCTGTTAGTGTCCTTTGACTTTAACAATATAACGAAGATATGTTTCAGTGACTGCTACTTTGGCATATGTCCTATGGTCATGATTGATGGGATCTAAGGTAGTATGCTAAGAAAGCGATTGATTCATATCAAAGTGATATTTGGGCGAAAGGAAGATTGACTATGATATACACACCTATGCTAGTGTCTGTGACATGTCCCTTATGACATTCTGTGGTCATAAGTGTGAACACTAGACATACCAGAAAGGTAATCTGAGTCAACTATCGACTCAAGAGGGATTAGATCTACCGTGAAAAAGTGTATATAAGTAAATCTGGGACATCTGAGGCATAATTTTAAAATTCAAGCTACACGAAGGAGAGGGTGACTTGTACTGATCCTTTAAAAGGGATTCATAGTACAGGCACCTAAATGAAGACGTCATGCCCACGCAGTCACTGCAAAGCACCGAGTATGAAGTTGAAGGGGAGATAAAGAAGCTAGACCCGCGACATCTAATCCACTAAGTGTGAGTGGGAAATGTAGAAAAATGGGCCAGTCCACTCTTGATGGATTGGACCCAAGCCCATTGCCATTTGGGGCTCTGGTGTGAATAGCAAAACTTATGGGTCTCTAATTGTAATATTGGCCTTTTTATGTAATTTGCAAAAGGGAGGGAACGGTTGGACAGAGGAGGCAGTTTTTTTTCAAACGGGGAGTTACATAACTAATCCAATAGTGATCAGTTTGTGCGTGTGTATCTCTTTCGTTTTTTGGTTCCTCCAGACTCCTCCCTCCACTCTCAGAACTTTGTCTCCCGGTGCATTTGCTGTGTATCCAGATCCGAGTTCCTACAGTAACCGGACCTCCGCGTGGCTATCTAAGACTATCTTATACTTCAGGTATGCCTGAATTCCTTCAAAAAAGCTTAGAAATTACTAAATTGTATATCAAAATCAAGATTTGTTAGCACGTTTTAATAGGTTTTGATAATATTTAATTTGTAAATAATAATATATTTTTAGAAAAATATCTGATTTGAGATTTTGTAATTTTTATGGTTTTTTCATCACTTTTCCTAAAATTAATTATATATATCACTCACACAAATTTAAGGGCAAAAGAGAAAGAATACCCTCGAACCAGCTTCTTGTAAGGTAATATCTGACCGAACCCGTCACATAGCTGTAAAAATGTTTGTCTCCTCCTTTTTCCCGCATTTGACTAGAGGGCAGAGCACGAGCAGAATCAATTAAAAATTTTAATTAAGGATAGCGGATGGGAATTAATCTCAAATAGCTCCCAAAAAAATTTGAAATTTCAGTTAAGGATTTTGAAATCTCACTGAAGAACCCAAGAAGCAAACTGAAATTAATTTTAGAGAGTAAAAGACATTTTATCCCTCACTTGTAACTTGAAGCTCTTTACCCTCTTTCTCTCTTAAATTTGTCAAAACTCAAGCTTTTCTTTCTCTCACTGTAAGAGCCTTGCTGTCACCATAGTTTCTCCCTCTCTCTCTCTCTCTCTCTCTCTATGTACGCGACCTCTTTCACTGCATTTGCATTAAAAAATTTCTGCATATAATACTGCAAAATCCTTCTCTATTTCTTCTATTGCAGATTTCATCAGTTTGATTTGGGTTGTTATGAAGTTATGAACTAATGAGATTTGAGATAATATTATAAAGTGGGTTGATTTTAGATTCAGACCAGTGAGTGTTGAAAGTAAGCATTTCTGTTTCTGTCATGAGTTTAACATTTTTGTTCTTGTCATGAGTTTTGTTATAAATTTGCAAATTTTACTTCTCCAGGAAAATGGTGATTTAGTGTTATGAAAACTCGTACAGAGAGAGAGAGAGAGGGAGAGAGAGAGAATCTATGGTGACAGCAAGGTTCTTGTTACCAGAACATCACTGACGTGGACGCTCTCCTTACTTGAACAACAACAATGGCGAATGATCTCTTTCAACCCAATAGTATTTTTTCAGACAGTAAGAGAAAGAAGAGCTTGAGTTTCGACAAATTTAAGAGAGAGGGGGGTAAAGAGCTTCAGGTTACAAGTGAGGAGTAAAATGTCTTTTACCTCTAAAATTAATTTCAGTTTGCCTTCAGGTCCTTTAGTGAAATTTCAGAATCTTTAACTGAAATTCAGATTTTTTTGAGGCCTATTTGAGATTAATTTCCATTTGTGGTCCTTAATCGAAATTTTTCTCAGAATCAAATGGGGTGTACTTTAATTATTTTAAATTTAGTTGTTTGGCACGTGAAGCTATTCTGTTGGCAGAAAGCAGTGGGGAAAAAAGTAAATAAAAAAAAGAAAAAGGTCATTCCTTCCAGTCCAGGTGTTTTGAGAACACCCTTCTTCAATCAATCAAGGAGCCTCCATTATAACTCCGTCGTCATCATCAGCACAAACAAACGAACAAACAGGGCCTTCTCTGAAGTAGTACGGGAAAAAATGACAGATCCCAAAGCAGTAGAAGTCAAGGATTTCCAGATTATGATCGCAAACCAAGACGACGATCAGAAACAGTTAGGATCAGTGACAGAAAGCTCCCAGAAAGGTTAATGGCAGAGGAAAAAGAATAAGGATGCCTGCTCTTTGCGCCGCTAGGGTTTTTCAGTTAACCAGAGAACTGGGTCACAAGTCCGACGGCGAGACGATTCAGTGGCTTCTTCAACAAGCCGAGCCCTCCATCGTCGCCGCCACTGGTAGCGGCACAATCCCGGCTTCCGATTTATCAAAAGCAGGGTCATCTGTTTCTGACCGGAGAAGCTCTGTTTCAAGTGGTTTGCATGCAAAGGTGGAATCTTTAGGGCCAAGCTGGGCGAAAGTTAATGGGAATTTGGGAAGAACAGGACCAGTCATTAATGGAGTTTTGGCAAGCTATAGCGGGAATCAGTCCGGGGATTGTACAAAACTGTGGTTATTTGAGTTCAAGTTCTGGGTTTGAATTTGGTCGAATAAACTCATCAGGTTTCATGGAATAGCAGCAGCAGAGCAGCAAGATCCAGGTTTAGAACTGGGTTTGTCACAGGATGGTAATATTGGGGTCTTATCATCGGAAACCATGGCTCAGTTTTACCAGCAATTAGGTCAAAGTCGTGAAGTTGCAGGGTTGTTGGAACCTGCCCAGAAGGATCAAACTCAGAGATCAAAACAGTGAAGGAAGAAGAATAAGCGAAAAAGCTGAAATTCTCTCTGTGGCTTAGGATTCCTCGAGAGATGAATGAGTACACTGTGCGTAAAATGAGATTAGGATTTAGTATGATGGTAGCATTTTCTGTATATCAAAGATTTCATTGCTTGCAGGATTGGATTAGACATAACTTTTGATTGTATTTTGAAAATTTTCTCCAGTTCATTCCCGTTTGTTATCAACTGTGTAAAAAGGTTTTTTTTTTTTTCCTCCTGCAAAGTTTGTGACAAAATAACACGAGGATGATTGTATTTTAATTTCTTGATGTTTATGTTAACTGTTAACTGAGCCGACGATAAATTGCAGAAACTTTATCAAGGGAGCGACCCAAATGGAGGAGATTCCTCTTCTTCTTCTTATAATGTCCCAGAATTGAATTGCATTTGGAGCTAAATTCACAATTGAAATGAAGCAAAGTGATCGCTGGGGAGCAATTATGTTATTAATTAATGGATTGGCTTCGAAAATGGTAAATTATGATTAATTGTGATTTAATAGCATGAGAACTTGGAATAGAGAGCCTCCTCTTGTTTCTGGGGAAAAATCAAAAATTAATTTTCAAGCGTACTTAATTGTTATTAAAATCAAAGAACAAATTAGATACTAAACTGGTTGAGGCAGTAGTTCAAGTGTCATTGGGTTAGACAGGAATCAACTCGGAGTCAAATTGGGCATATTAAAATAATATAATTTAATTAAAAATAACAAAATATAACAATATTAATAATCACTAATAACAAAATATAAAGAAATACAATAATAGTTTGATTGTAACAATAACAAAGAACAATAACATTGAGAATTTTGATCTTTATGATTCCTCAATAACTAAAATTAATAATTAGTGATACTAAGATCATCATTAAAATTTATTCAAATCTATAGTAACTAAGATATTTGGAACTGAATGAGAAAAAATTAGGATCAATAGTAACATAATTATCCAAACCAATTCATAACCAATTTACACCAGTTTTTGCTGGCTTTCACCATTTCACACTGGTTTGACCAGTTTGATGCTGATTCGATCTATCATCGGTTTAACACTTGAACCAACTTAGACCACTGGTCAGTTTACTGGTTTTCTAGTTAAATTGATTGGTTCAGTCCGGTTTTTTCTTTCATGATTAAAATAGGGATAATTAATCCACAAGTTCTTATAGTTTCAACCAATTTTGAATCAAGTTTTTATAGTTTTTTTTTTCTTTTTATGAGGTCCTTATATTTTCACTTATTTTTAATTAGGTCTTTGCGTTTATTTTTCTTTTTATCAAGTCCTTATAAGTTCACCTTATTTTTAATTAAGTCCCTATATTTTTTTATTTTTATTTTATAAATTCTAATAGTACTATTCAATAAACATAAAATAGTATATATTATTTAATATTAGTTTATAAACAATAATATTCTAAAGGTATTGAATTATTATAATGATTTTATTTTTTTCAGCAAAAAAATTAATTGCTCTAAAATTTTTTCCTAAATTAATTAATTCTATTACTTTTTATTATATAATTATTAATATAATTTAATTATTAATATTTTATATTTCAGTATTAATCTATTTAATTAAGCTTATATTTAATTAATAAGTAAAAATTAAAACTACATGGACCTAATTAAAAATTAAGTGAAATTATAAGAACTTAATTAAAAGAAAAATAAATACAAGGACCTAATTAAAAACAAGTAAAAGTATAAGGACTTGATAAAAAGAAAAAAAAAACTATAGGGACCTGATTCAAAATTGGTTAAAATTGTAAGGACTTGCGGATTAATTAACCCAATTCTTAATTAGGCTAAGAGACCTAATTAGAGATTTTTACATGTTGTTAAAAATCTAGAATACCCCTATGTAGCTAACAAGAAAAATTAAAGGCAAAGATGTATGATACAATTTTCCTAAATAAACCGATAAACATAAATTTTTCAGAGTAACTCCAAGAAATAATTTTTTATAACCAAATCATGCTAACAATAAACTCAAATGTATCACAATCATACAAACTAACTTATTATATAATAATGTTATTCGTGATAAAAATGAACAATACCCAATCATACTACCTATCACGGATAAAAGAACCTTCCTTAATTTATTCAAATGCAAACTATGTGAAAAAGATCAATCTCGTCTAATACAGTTATAAAATAACATATTGTATAGCTCATAAATTGAAATAGTAAGAATAAAGTCTTAATTCAATTTTATAATAAATTTATAATAAACAAATTATATACAATCTTAGGCCTCAGGTCAACTACCAGCAAGCATACTATAACAAAAAAAAAGGTACAACAAATTATATACAATCTTAGGTCTTTGGTCAGCTACCAGCAAGTATACCATAACAAGAAAAGTAAAAGGGTACAAAAACATGATTGTCGTAGGGTGGCAATATATAGGAAACAACATAATTTATAGATCGAGGAGGCACTACAAGTCCCTATTGTAGCTTTAATCCTCCTTGGCACTCCCTAACATTCCTCCTCTAAAGCTTTCACCTAAAAAATGTTAAACAGCAGGCTGAGACAATGTCTTAATAACTGTCATATTTTGTTAATTTTAACATAAAAAATGAGAAATTTAGAATTGACTGAGGGCCAGATAGTGTAGTAAAAGCATAGATAGAACAACTTTTGAAGTGAAACTCGGGGAAGGACCTGATCATCATTTTGAAAAGTTTCGGTCAAGGAAGGGCAAAATTGAAAATTATGCCCGAAATTCCTAAATTTTTTTAAAAATTCATGAAAAATAGAATAAAGGATCTAAGATAGTGTTTGAGGCATGAAAGATGAAAATAGCATGAAAATAATTTATTTTGAAATTTTCTATAATTTCATGAAATTTTGGCTAAATAAGGAAAAATTAGCAAAATTGAATTATTTAAAATATGTAGAAGCTTCATGACAAAAATAAGAAAATTATTTGAAAGATTATTATAAATTTTAAATTTACTCTCAGCCTCTAGAGAAGCATAGGTTAGCTTTAAAATATTTAAAGCCAAAATTATATTGGTAAAAGGCTGATTGCAGGAAAATTTTAATTAAAGGAGTCATAAGTCAAAATCAAATATGAAAAAATTAGGAGAACCTCTCCTCATTAAAAGGAAGCTATTGGCAAAAAGAAATAAATCCTTGAAAGTAGTATATTTAACAGGATCTAAAAAAAATTCAACCGATATTGTGAGATTACACAATGTGATAGTCTTATGCTTGGTGGAACAAAGTTTTTCCCAATTTTTTTGCGTAAAATGGTACCAAATAGGGGGAGGATATGAATGGAATAATATATACTATTGAAGGCTAAGCTTAGAAGAATGGAATTATTGAATAAAAAATGGTTATTTTTTCACATGTGTGATAGGTAGCTTATGAGGTGTTCTATGAGGTAGCATTTTCATTCAATGAGGAGGACACCTAAAGGGCTCATGTGGTGTGATCTTGAAGGGAGATGGAGCAAGATCTTGTGGTAAAAGTTAATAGTGAATTTGGAAGATTACCATAAGCTAAATTGGCTTGCATTATAAATACTTGCTTCCCTCCTTCAAGGCCATAGTTTTGGCCAGTTCAAGAAGCAAAGGGAAGAGAGGAACTTCGGCCAAGGTAGAAGGAAAAAGGAGGAAGAGAAGTTCAAGCAAAACCTAGGTCAAATCAAGTGCTAAATGAAGGTAAGAACTTGGATGTTGTTCTAGTTTACGATGTCCTATAGTTTGATGGTTTTAAATACGGTTTTGATGGAAGTTAAAGGTTAGAAACCCTAGAATTTAGTACTGTTCAATTTGGTTCATGATGAGATATGAATGATTTAAAGGTTGTATATGGATTAGAGAATAGAGAATGGTTGGAAAATTGTGTTTAAACCTTGTTTTTAGAAGAATTTCAAGTTGTGAAACTTAGGGTTATGTTTTAGCCAGACCTAGTTCATTGAGCCAAGGTTTAATTTTTATTAATTTGATACTTCTAATGAGTTTAGAAAATGAAATTGTGTAGGGATATGTGAAGAATATGTGTTTGGAAGCATTAAAATTGGAAATAGAATTTTTGAATTCCAAGGCTACCTCTCCGCTAGGCATGGTTATGGAGGAAGGAATTGGATTTTGATAAGTCTAAGTTCATATATGGAGTTTACATGAAAAATCATGTAGGAAGAGTATGGAGAAGTTAAGCTAAAGAAGATGACACTAAAATTCTAAAATAAAAGTTAAAGGGTTAGGGTTTTAGGTTGAAGTGTTTAATGAAATTGTTAAGTTTTGGAACACCATTATTGTTTGCTTGATACATATTGGCATTGACCAAAAAAAGGCTCAAGAACAAGAGTAAGGAACTAAAGAATCAAGTTTGTAAAGAGGTAGCAAGAACTTACAATTTTGGTATTGAATTGTGTTGGTTGTTTATGTTGTGTATATACCATGATGTGGTTGAGTTATGAATGTTGAAATGTGTTTAACTCCTTGCATTGATGCCTTGGCAAATATGTATAGTTGAGATTTTAAATGATATGTCATGTGCTCTCTTTCCATGGCATGTTAATGGCATATTAATGACATGATAATGCATTAGTTAAATGCTTGCATATGACATAAACTAACCTTGCATTTTGATCCTATGATTGATGTTCTTTGCTATTTGGATTTCTTTGAAATCTCACCTCTATTATGTTTAAATCATAACCATTTAGGGGATGAAAGTACCAAAGGGAAAGGTGAAACATCCTTACTTCTACCCCTCAGAGTACGTGTTCGGAAGCGAATTGGATATGCAAAAGTTTTACTTAGGCCTGAAAATTAAAATTTTTCCCTTAAGTCCTTGGTTACTGTTCATTGTGCATTTTTTTAATATTACAGGTCTAACTTTAAAAAATGGGTCAAGGTGCAAAAATACCTATAACCTTATACCATATGTGCACTCGACACCATAACCTTTTTCGAGGTGCAAAAGTGACTATAAAAGTTCAATAACGTAGC